GATAGAGGGGAAAGGGGCGGGACGGGACGAAGCGTAGAACGAGCTTTATCGTACGGAAAATTCGGAGATACGCGATTAAATTCGTTCGCTTATCCACTGGTGAGCTTACAGCCCGGCGGAAGATAACGATAACACCGTCGAGCAGAATGCTCTCTCGCGTCATTAGCAATGGAAATTTTGAGTTTCCTGCTTTTTGGTTCTCCGTGCTATAATAATATCGAGTGCGTCGGTAACGAGCGTGAGAAAAAAAAAGAAAGACGGATGGATGCGTGCAAGTATCGAGGATATAGCGACGATGATAGGGGCCGCGCGCGCGTGCGTGCGTCAAATAAACAATGATTATATGCCGTGTACGTTGCAAATTTCTGTTTGCGTATCGTACGAGCTCTCGGCCGTTCCCCGCGAATATCGATTTACGGCTTTAATATCAAACGCGCGTATAGAAATGCGGACGAAAAAAAAAAGAAATAGAATAACAGGCGTAAAAAAGTACTCCGCGCGCGTGCGTAATAATAACGGTCAACTTTTTCCAAGAAACTATTGAGCAAATATCGCGTAAATATAACGTGTACATGGAAATCAGGAGACACGGTAGTGTTTCCAGCCCTGCAAATTTCTTTAGGTTTCTATCATTTCTTATCGGATTTTTTAAGCAGGGTGCATTGATTTTGGGTCTTTCTTTCGCGCGCGAGAGTTCGCATACGAGCGGGATTAGGTTCAATATCGCGCGTATACGTGACGCGAATCTGTTCGCCACCGTCAGGTTCAATTAACACGAGACAGCTCTCTCCCTCCTCGTCCTGTAGCAATTGACGAAGGCGTATCTAATTAGATTGATTCTCTCGCAACTGAATCCCCGGTCCCGGGGATAATATAACGTCGTGCAGACGCGGCAATCCATCTTCCGCGCGAGCCCGAGTTATATAACTCACTCATCACGGTGGGACAAACGCGTGATGTAACTCGGGAACTTCCGCGACGCGGAATTATATTCTAAGAGAAAAAAAAAAAGAAAATCTCAATCTTTCCGCGTCTTGTAGGCACTTATAACGTAAAGTTAGAACGTTTTGACTAATTTATCCTTTCTCATTGTTAAAAGACACGCGCGATCGTTATTTAAAATCAAGAAAATTCATGCAAGAGAGAGAGAGAGACATTATATCGCGAGAGTCCTAAGCACAGAGCTCGTGTGTGATTTTAGACGGTCGCGTTGTTCAGCCCGCGACATAACGCGGTCGTCGGATTTGCGCGAACGCAATTGGAATATTCTGTTGACGCAAATCTGCATACCGCAATTCAATCAGTCCGCATCCCGTCCCGACGACGGCTTGTTCCGTCTCGGGCGCGCGCGCGCGCGCGCGCGGTCGTGCGTGCGCTTAATTAGATCGATTCCGCCATGCCGAATTCGTCTTCGGCGCAGCCTCGGTTCGCCAAGACGTAACGATCCATCATGGGTATACTGTCCTTCGGTGTAGGCGCGATAGTTCGCCATTTAACCCGATTCCCGCTGGATCAAGGACGAAGATGGGCATTCCTCGGACGGAGGCGAGGGTGCCGCCGCCCGCCGCCGCCGTTGATCAAGATTAATCGTATGCAAATTACGCGTGCGTCGGCTGGAGGATTCCGCGACGGGTTTTGGGGGACTTCCACGGACGAGAGGGTCGAGGCAGGCGCGCCGACGTCAGTGGGAAAGATCGTCGTTGCCGTCGTCGTCGTCGTCGTCGTCGTCGAGATCGCTTGGCGGTAATTGAAAAGACACGGGAGAGATTCTGTTAGGTGCGAGAAATCTCGCTCGCGCCGATAAGAAACGGTGCTCTTGATATCGACTTTTCGAACGACGTGATACTCGAGGGAATTATATTCGGACGGATGTTCGACATATAGCCTGCTTCGACCGAGTGGATTTGTCAATTTTTCATTTGTTCCCCCCCTCCGCCTTTCACCCCTCCCTCCCGTCTCGATGTGAAAGATCTTTCACGGGGAAGAACGCATTCTTTCCACTGCCGCGCTCTAAAAATTTAATCTACGAGAATGTATGATGTAATTACGTAAGATTGTAAGAGACCAGTTGTAAATAGCAAACCATGCATATCCTTTCCTTCAAGTTCTGAACGCATTTCCGCGTAATAAGCTTAACGATAAGGAAGAAAGAATTGTGGCGAATGTTGCTCGGTAGAATGTGTATCCATTCTCATAATGTAATTGGCCTTTTGCCACAAATAATCCTTTAATCAACGAAGAATCTCCATTGCAGTTGGAAAACGTTTAATCCAAATGCAACTGTTCTATATTCCTTTGTTTGTGCATTTCCATTCGCGGTCTACTGTTTGTGACTGGTTCTCGTTAGAATTAAGATTATCGTATATTTTTTTTTCGCGAATTTTTTCAGAAAAACGACGAAATAGAACAACGAATAGAGATAAAATTTTTGAAAACTCCCTTCTTAAACGTACGGTTGCACTCGTTCTGCATTAGGTACGATTAGCGTTTATTATTCTTTCCGTTTAAACAGATAAACTTTAAAAACTCTCAAGACGAAAAGTGAAAGATGACGTTGCATCTGTTATCTTTCACTTTTCATTTCAAAAGCCTTTAGGGTCCAAATTCTTTAGGCTTGAGTGTTTTAAGGGTTTAGTTTTTAGTCTCTCAATCTTAAATTTCATACAATACCGGATAAATAAAATAAAAAATAAACTCGTATGTTTTATTTTCTCATTGTTAATTTTTTCAGTCTTTTGGATTGAGTTTTTTTGCATACACTGCTTTTTTATCTCTTTTTCTCACTTTTTTCCATATCGGTATCATTTTAAAATATAATTTAGATTTTCTATTCTTTTTTAATGTTGTTTAGTTTATCTTGTCTATTTATTGTCTATTTAACTATTTATCTCTTGAACACTTATTAAACTGTCAAGAACTCTTACTGTTCTTGAAATATTGCTTATCAAGGCAAGTACAGTTAGACGTAGATGTTAAGTCACAAGCAATGAATGTCTTATTGTGTTTGCACAATATTTGGCAACTATAATAAACAAAAAATAATTGAATCCTATGATTACTGATAATAATTTGAATGTTTTCATTCGACATTCTTAAATTTCTTACATTTTTTCAAAAGAGGTTAAAACATTTGAATACTAAATTTCTTTTAAAATATCCGACAAAAAGTAATAAATCTTAAATAATTAAATATTAAGTAGTGTACAATAATAGTCCAAAGATAAAATCAAATAATATAAAATTTTTTTTTAAGCTTGTGTGATCCTCCGCAGAAATAAATGCGTAAAACTATTTAATGAGCCAAGAGTTGTACTTGTTTAAAATTCAGACATGCACAAGTTTCTACAGTTGACCGCAATTTATACTTGCTAAACAATACATCATAACGCGCAAATGTTTCGACTCTACTCCGAGTCTTCTTCAGTGCGGAAATCAAGAACGTCACCTTTACAAATAGCTCGACGGTATAGACCTTTGTCACTTCTTCTCATCGTCACAGTTAAAAATCCAATTTATTATAGTCAAGTTAAAGATTAATTATTTAGACGGATGTCCAATAAATTGGACTTTTAACTGTGACAATGAAAAGAAGAGAAATGAGATCGACAAAGATCTATGCTGTTCTGCAGAGACGAAGACTTACTTTATGAAAGGTATGGAGCTTTCCACACCCAGAGTGTGTAATTCCACACCCTAAATTCGGGGTATTTAAAAAAATTTTTTTTTAAATAATTAATTCTAAAAGAGCTAATTCTTGCGTGATATCGAGGTAAAATTAAAAGAAAAATATTTATATTTTTAAGAAAAAATATGAAAAGAAATTAAATATAGAAGTAGAAATATATTTCAACATATAACAGAAAAGAAAATATTTGTGTTATTACGTATCCGCTCCCCCCCCCACCCGCTTAGATGAAATACTCCATCCAGAAAATTCAAAAGTCTCCGTCCCTGATGCCGTCGAGCTATTTGTAAAGGTGACATTCTTGATTTCCGTACTGAAGCGGAACAGAGTCGAAACGTTTGCGCGCTATGATTGTTAAGCAAGTATAAATTTGTTAGTCAACTGTAAACACTTATACATATATCTAATTTTAAGCAAGTACAATTCCTTGCTCATTAAATAGTTTTTAACGCACTTATTTCTGCGGAGGATTCCAGAGGCCTATAAAAAATTTTTACATTATTTAATAAATTTTACTTTTTTATTCCTTCTGAAACCTTTTGAAATATTTATCAAAATATACACTCTCTACAAATGAATCAGTCGAATCATCACTGATTTTCAGTATATACCGATTCAGTGAATATCACTGAAAGGTGAGTTTCACTACTAAACAGTTTTGAGAACTAAAATTCACTATCTTTCAGTGATATTCACTGTTTGAATATATTATCGCTGAACATTGAGAAACTTACTTTTATTACAGTTCTATGTTCAGACGGGGACACTAATGTCTTAACACTTGAAATTACGAGATGAGAGAAGAACGCGGTTCTCATTGAAACGCGCTCTGAAGACGCGTTTCTGATTAGAACACGCTCGATGTACGCGCAACTTCGAGTGTTAAGGCATTAGTGTCCCCGTCTGTACGTCATTGGAAAATGATATACACAGAAAATCAGTGATGATTCCACTGATTCACTTTTAGAGAGTATATCTTTATAATTTAAATGATATAATTATTTTTACAATCCATAAAATACAGAGTATTATTTTTAACTCATCACAGAAGAAATATCTGAAAAGAAAGGAAAATAGGAAATTCCTTTGTCTGGCACACAGATGCCCACTGCCAGGTCATCGCCGACCCACCAGGGTGTAAACACTGTAAACTCGGCTAATGTTTGCCGGGCAGACCCGGACAGACATAAGTAACCGACCGTCACTACGGATACGCACTCACACACACACACACTTAGTCACGCAAATGTGACGAGTGCGGTAGGTAGTAGACGGTGGTATACATAGAGGCTCTAGTGGTAGAGGGGTCAGTGTAAAACTGCCTTCTGTCCGCAACGTGTCGAACCGTAGCCGGCCGGGCTAAAACCCGTCGTCGCACAGACGGAGTCCTTCTTCAAGCCAAAGGAAGCCCTACGGAAGGAGAGAGAGAGAGAGAGAGTGGCTCTTATCTGAGAATTTCCTTATCTCGAGAACGCCGGGCGGAATTATACCGGAAACTCTCGAATTCCACTGCTTCTTTTTCTGTACGACAAAGTAAGTGCGATCGCTCCGGGTGCGAGACAGCTCCGGCGACAATCGATTCTGAACGCTTCGAGGCGACTTTATTAGACCGTTAGAAACACATAAATTTCGTCGTGTTATAACTGCGAGTGTTATCTAATGCTTATGTAGAATTATGTAAAATAATGCGGCAGAATCTGTTTCCTCGTTTTTTAAATTTCCATTTGGTGGCGGCGGATCTCTCGATCGCGCTGGAATCCAAGGCTTAACGTTGCACGCACGTGACGCGTGTCTGATGCGACCGCATCCATTCAATTAACGCGAATGTTCCTTCCGCGTTCGGTACAGCAATTGATGAAGGCGCATCTAATTAGATTGATTCTCGCTACTGAATTCTACGCGAAGATAACACGCGCTTAGACGCGACAGACTCCGCTTCGGGATCTTTAATTAACTGTTGATTCGATAAATCGAATTGATCTCGCTTTCGAGACCGTTAAAAAAGTAAGATGTTACATATATCAAAGGTATCATTAAAAATATACCTATCATTAAAAAACTTAGAAATCTAGTGCAGGACGAATATGATATTATAGGTTGTTAAATATAAAAATCAGGACGAATATGATATTAGATTGTCAAATATAAACAATTAAATATAAAACTGTTAATTGTCGTTTGACATATGGATTTCATTCCATTTTGCATCCTCGAGTGATTGACATAAGCCAACTAGCAATAAGAAGCTTTAGATTGTCGATGGAATTGAATCGATACGAGTCACATCGACGGAAAGTCATTAAGTCTCCTTATTTCTCAGTCTTATTTCCATACTTTGCGTGAGCTCTGCATGCGATACAGGTCGCGGCGTTGAGCGACGGAAGGAAATATGCGGGAGCTTATATGCGTGTGCAGGACAATGCGGATGTCGACAGGTCGCTGAAGACTTATCGGCGGGCATTATCTGGCACGATATCGGGAAGTGGACGGAGGCGTGATTCAGGCCGCGATTATATACGTACGTGACCCTGGAAAATCGTATGCCATAAATTTGCCGATCCCCGGTATCCCGCGGCTACAGAACGCGCGCGTTACATGCGAATAAATCAAGGCCAGCGGGCAGCTTGCGGCGGAAAAAATTCAATCAAACAAACAAACGTGTCATCGGACGAATGTGCGAAACGACTGATTCGTCGATGGGCAAATATCCATAGATACTTGACGAGATTTCGAGAGAGAGAGGTATTATCAAATTCATCGATCGAAAGCAGAGCAGCTGAGAGAGAGAGAGAGAGAGAGAGAGAGAGAGAGAGAGAGAGAGAGAGAGAGAGAGAGAGAGAGGAGAGAGAGAGAACGTGGCGCGGAAATACTAATCAGCGAAATGTTCGGTTCACTTAAGTAATTAGGCTAATTGCATTGAAAATTCTCAGCCTATTAATTTTTCCACATCACTTGATACATAGTTCGCGAAAGACAATTTTTACATTAGATTACAATGGGTTTAGAAATTGTTAAAATATTTCACTATTTATCTAGAAAAAAGGTACTTTTTTCCCATTTTTAATGTAACTACGAAAAATAATATTAAAAAATTGTATTTTTCTGAAATCTCTGCTCGGAGTAAATATTTTACGTGGGCACTCTCATAAAGATCGTTAAATTTTAATCGACCGATTTTCCACGGGACAAAATTGCCACAGACTCGGTATTTTTTTTTTCACTTTTAGCACAGCTCCAATTGTTACGAGGTCTTCAACAAAAGTAATTAGAAAAAAATCGCTGAGTAATGAGTCCAAACGTGACGTCCCCATTCGGAATAATGGCGCAATTATTTTTTCGTTAAACCGCGCGTTTCATGATCTTTTGTGACTAATGAATGACCGTACGTAGATTTCCTTCGGATACGACGACTTGGCGAATATATGGAAATAGCTCTTCCAGTTTTAGCTTCACGGCCGTATTACGCGTGGTGTGCGTTCACGCGTTCTTACGTGGACTTAAAATAGCGTACGATCAGCCCGTAGCTCGCGCAAGTCGGCATAATCGGCGTTTCCGTTTTGTGCCTTTTGCCTGAACGCACGACGGCGCGACGTAAGCCCGGCGTGTCTTCGATATACATGCGACGGCGTCAGACATGACTCAATTAGTAAATCGTATTGTTCAATTTCCCGGCCTGTGCATTGTATAGCCGAATACTTCCTAATGGGAACCGCATTTCATCTAATTGGGTTAGACATCAAATATTAATTAATTGACGGCATATAATTTTGCCCGGTAATGCGCATAGCAAATCACGCGCGACATCGACGAGAATTGATTTGAATTTGATTTTTGCGCAAATTTCCCACGCAAATTTGCCCGATCGTCATTTCGTCGGCAAATAATTGATAATCAAAATTAACTATCGATGGTAACGGCGTTAATTTTCCGCGGCTGGCCGGCGCGGCTCGCAGCTGGGACGCGACTTTAAACGACCTGGCGCGCCCGAAAACATCGGCGGCTAATTCCCGTCGCGTATAGTTACCGAGGGCAAACGCATTTTTCGCGCCGCGGGGCTTCATCGGGAAAATGCGGTTGCACGCGGACGGAAGAGGGAGGGGTTGGGAGGGAGGGGAAATTTCGAAAAACGCGGCCGCGGCAACGAGTTTGTTTTACGTTGTCGCGTGTAATCGAGCGGCGCGCTTTTACCGCGTTATTCGACGATCGCGTTCAAATATCAATCGCGAACGCGCCCGGACTGCTGTTTATGCAACTATTGACCGCGTGTTTCGCGAAAAACGCGCCGCGGATCTGGATGAAATGCGCGCGCGGGAGATTTTTTTGCCTCCCCCCCCCTCCCCTTCGTCTCGCCTTGGTGCTCGTATACCGCTCATCCGCCTCCATTAGCGTCACTTTGGAAAACGCGCGTCTGTAACGCGGTCGAGCGACGTGGTATTACCTCGAAAGAAGACGCCTCGCGAGAGGAGGATTTCGAAGTCGAAAGGGGAAGTTCCTGGCCCCCCCTGCTCCCCCCTCCTCGTCGCTACGTGACGTCTCCCTCGACATCTATCGCGGCGCGCGTCTTGTCCCGTTTCTCGCTTACCGGATCCCCCGTTCTTCCTTCCGGATCCGACGCGAGCAACCCCGTTAGTTGGCCCTTTCGAGATCTCGGGGGCGGGAAACGCCGCGCGAGGCATGTGTCGCGCGTGCTTTAGGGAAGTCGGCAGGATCTTATTGAATCTGCCGTAATCCGCGGGGCGCCCGACGTGTGTACTCGGATGCTTTTGACAGCGCTCCCGCCGCTTTGCTCTCGCTGCGGCCGGATTATATCGATTATATGACGCAACGTCCCCCGGCTTTCTCGGAACGATATCGATTTTACAGCGCCCCGCACACGTACTCGTCGACGCCATAGGCCTCGACGGGCGCCCCGATAAGCGGAGCTTTGATAGCGGTAACCAGAATTTCGTGCGCTGACGCCCGACTTCACCGGCATTGATTATATTGTTATACGTCGCTCCTGCGCGTAAAATTCTATGACTCGCTCGCGAAACGTGACGAAGGGCAATTTTCACGTAGCGAGAAGCGTCTGTTATAATATTTATATAATTATACGATTATTATAAGGAGAAAGACGAGAGTAGAATTCGCTGCACGTTTGAAGGTGCACAAGCTGCGTCGACCTTTCGGTCACTCCGTCGGGCCTTGGACTTGCAATTAGCTTAGGTAATTTCGAAAGTATCGATCCGTCGTGTCCGGCGTTCTCACCGCCGAGCGTGTTGTAACGGCGTGCCGTAGGCTTACCGCAGTAGGTATACGGGAAGGGCGAGCCCCGTGTATATATTCGCGATCTATATATGCAACCCTGAAACAGGCAACCAGAAAACAAGTCGCCGCAGAAATAAGTCGCCGGGCCTGAGCAATCAGTAAGACTTGTGCAGCGGCGTTCGCCGCTGCCGTCGCCGCCGTCACGCGACTCGCGCTCCCCGCCGAACTTTTCGATCAGTCTTTTCCGTCTTCGGTCTTTTTGTTGTCCGCGCGCGAAAATTCACCACGGAGGAATTCTTCGGAACGAGCTATCGATCGTAGTAGTGGCTGGGTAGATTTTCTCCACCTCGGCAGGTGCGAGTGAATCGTCGGTGTGTGCCGCGATATTCCGCGGACTGATAACCGATATCGCGCCGGAGTGTCTTTTACGGTGTCGTATTTTTATATCTTTATGGCATTGACGCGGAGACCATCGGCAGATCTCATAACACCGAGGCGCGATGTAATCGAGCTCGGGCATTGTGAAAGGAAAACGTAGTTGCCGTTGCGAATTCCTTCTTTAACTTTGAAATCGATTTTTTGGGCACTTAAATATTAAAGACAAATAAATATTATAACAAAATTGTAAAAGAAAAACAATTTTGCTTTTAGAATACGTGATTAACACCAGAACTGCCAAAGCAGTCAAAATGACTGGTTTGAAATTTTTTTTCTCAAATTTGTAGCGGTGTATTTTTTTTAGATTTTTCGTAACTTTTACTGCAATATGTAAATAATTAAATTAATCAATTAATTGTTTCTCTTTTTATTTCTTTAAAAAAAGTATATATATATATATATATATATATATAATACTTTAATATTACTTTTGAAGAATATATATATACATATATATGTAGGGTATTTAAATAATATAGAAATAGAATCTATTTATTAATGATCGATAGTTGGTATAGTTCTAGTATCAAATTCACATTAGATATTAAAATTGCAATATTAATAGCTTCTTCATATTGCAGCTTCTGGTGTCACATTCTTAGATTTCCATAGTATTGATCGATACCAGTTAATAAATCGGGTGCTATGTAACATCGTCCTGGCATGTTATACTTCACAGGGAACATCATGCCTATGCCTTCATTAACGCATTCTTTGAATTTTAAGACTATTGCATACTTATATTAAGTAACAAATTTAATTAAATGTTAGAACGCTTGAAACAGGAGATGCTACTTTTTTTTTAAAGATACTCGCTAGCGGCTAAATAAATAAAATTACGTCAGGTTGCAAAACCGAGCGGCCTTAATAGAAATGATAAGAATATGATTAAGAATAGCCGACTCATTTGTTTCAAGTAAAATTTCCCGCAGAGATAACCGCTTATTAAATTAATATTCTATAACCAGGCTTTGTAATGAATATGCTTGTTGACGTTGAAAAAATTACAACGATAAGAACACTGAGACGTGCGTGGGAAGTATATTAAGGTGTGCGTTTACGGCCAAGCTCAAATAACGCTGCTCCGCCTCTGAAGTATTTCGAAGGAATGTAAATATTACGCTTCACGTCACCTTATCGACGTTACATAAAAGATAATTATAGCAGTAAAGATGCTCCATTAATATTTTATCTATCGACGAAAATACGGAATTCTACACAGAGAATTATATAGAGGAAATAATTCTGTAATTGGTATAAATAGATAATAGGTTCAATTGATATGAATCGATAATCTCAATAATTAATGAATAGCCTCGCTATTTACTAGCTTCATTAGTCGTGGTCCTGTTGGACCTAAAAATCGATACTCGTTGCCATTGATGTAATATTAATTGTCACCTGGCAGAAGGAATAATGAATCAAACATAAAAAAGACGTGTAATGAAATAAGAATTTTATCGAATAATTATATACTTTGTATACTTTATATAATTTGAATTCCATCGTATTGAAACGTCACAATAGTTGCAATAAAGCGCACTTGCCTATCTATATAAAAATAGATTGCCTAGATAAAGAAAGGATTTTTTAAATTAAATATTAATTTACAATAATTTTTTTATAAATTAAATAAATCTTAAAAAAGAAATTAGCAATAATTTTAACATCATCTTCATAAAATCAGGAGCGAGGAGGGAAATGTCGATGATTTTTTTGTAAAACTCAATGCTTCAAAATGTACTTTCTCTCCGCAAGTTTTGCAATTCTACAACGATGTACGGATATTTTTTTTAGCAAAAAGGGTTGAAACGGCCGGAAGGGAACGAGCTCATCGTCTTGCCCTCCGCGTTTCCACGAGATATCGCGACGAGAAAATGCGCCAGGTTTACGGAGACGCTGATAGGATACTTTTATTGAGGGGGGAGGTGGGGGTGGAAGAATACGATGGTTCGCGGCAATATCCAGCGTTCCGTCCATTTCCTTAACCCGTTGACGAGCGTTATGAGTTTCGTCGCCCGTAAGGGCTTTCCTCCGTTTTATCTGATAATATCGAATATATCGACCGTCTCAGAAGCGCTTGGCTTTTGTGATGAAAGAACGATGATTAAGGGAACTATGTACGAGCCACCTGCTGATCACGTACATTTTTTGTAGCGCAGCTGCTTACACCGAACGATCGGGATTATCGAGTTTCAAATGGCAAACGCAGAGGCGAAAGAATGTTGACTTGAGTTATAAACTGCCGCAGACAATGCGCTATTCGTGCTCGCGCGCGCGAGAGAGAGAAATCTCCCGCGAGACTTTCCTCGCGACGTTTCTCCCCCGATCCCGGTCGGATCCCGCGGGGAGATTTCGCTCGCGAGACTTTACTTAATACTCGCCAACATCTCCGTAAGAGAAACGATCAACAATGCCGTAAAGCCCCGAGTACGGGATCGGGTGACGCCAGACCGCGTAAATTGAAAATGCGGGGAATGTCGCGTTGTGTGTTTCGTCTGTCCGACGAGATTTCTCGGTCGCGATGTTTAACCGCGAGATATCCCGGAGATAAAGAGAAGGAATCGCTGCGCTCTCTGCATTTTCTCACGGAAAAGATCCTCGGCGTCTAGACGCGCATCCCTCACGTATTTCACGGACCCCGGGGGCGTTTGCGGAATTCTTGTTTGCGACGAGGAGGAGGGGGGGGGGAGGGAGGGGAACAGGAAGGAAGGAAAAGCTAGGAGAGAAGCGGTGGAGACGGAGGAGCGAGAATTCGCGCAAGAGAGGGACTCGTCGAAGACTCCTTCGTCGACTCCTCTACTCCTCGCCTCTTCGCGCGCGGGAAAAGTTCGGAATACAGCCCCGAGGTGGCGAGTAACGGCAGTAGCGTTGGAGATGATTGATAGCAAAGAGCGCGCGCGCGTCTCGCACACCACAATGGGGACCAGAAATATGAGACCGGAATAAAATTCATAGCCGGGTTGCCAGGGGAGACGTTAGGCCGCGATTGAGATGCAAATAAGAGCGAGACACCCGGTAGCGCGCGACGACGGTGACGACTTCGTGGCATCTCTCCCGTAACTCGTTCGTCCCGACGATATGACGACGACGGGCGTTTGCGGAAGAGAATTTTTTATGAGCTCGCGGGAAGCTCCCCCCCGCTATCTGCGTTCGAAGTTTTCGGTTAACTTTGGAAATTTTTCCGCCGGGCGGGACGCCACTCGACGAGGATCTCCATTCGCATCGCGAATCAACTGTTTGTTTGAAATGCGGCGTAAAGAATATTTTAGGAAAGTAGGCTACGCGAGAGATGCATATAGATCAATAGCGATGTACCTATTTTAACGTTTAACCGACATGCGACGCGGGTCTCTCTCATCCCCCCCATCCTTTTCTCACTCTTAATTCGACGTACAATTCTTATTCTAATCATTGTGTTCATTGTCCTAATTTTAATGAAGCAATTTTGCCTCTTCTCGCGAGTTACCACGACGGTCGGAGCTTACAATTAAGTTAATGAGGCACACGTTCGTTGTTGGAAAATCTTCAAAACCCAGATTTCCACGGAGCATAAAATTGCTCCGGGCTGCGGTAACTTTAATCTCACGCGTACTATATACATACATATATATATATATATATATATATATCCGTCGTCGTAACGTATTTACGCAGGTGGAGCATCTCTTCTTCGATTAATCGTGGTACGATCTTTTTCTTCTTTCAGTTAAATTTCGCAGCGCGGATGGGTACCGCTATCGTCGGCTCGAAGGGCCGTTAGAGGCATTTATTCGATCCGCTAGCGTGGAAACATAGCCCGTGCCCGATGAGTGTGAGTATCGTTTCGCACCGAATATATTCGTAATTCCGTTAACCATTTCATTATCCAATTACGCGCGATCGTATTCCGCGGGATCCACGCCGATTATTCCGATCGTGGCGCCGGCGCATCATCGTCATTCCAATAGCGATTCACCGTTCACGATGCTTTAGATCCACCGCGGAATTTGCGGGGCTGGGGAAGATCGCGTCGCTTTTGTTTCCGCAAAGCGGATCAAGCGCGCGGCTGACGCGGGGTTTTTCCTCCCTTACGTATCGCGACTATACGTATCGCGATTGCCACCTTAATGGAACGGTGACTCCCGCGGCACGTTTTTCCGATGATTACCGCGCGGGCGTTTTATGGAAATCGATCGCGCGAGTGACTCACGAAGGCGGTGTACGTGTAAGGGGATCTGTGCGCGTGCCTTTCTCGGTCTCGTTATCGCGATACGTCGTGGCGATATTCCATAGAGCGAATTAAATACGACAAGAAAAAAAGAGAATGTCGCTTACGGTATGGATCGACCGCCCGTATAACGTACAGCGTTGCTACCGTGTCTGCTACAGCTGCATCGCCTGCTCGTTCCTTATTGATCGCGCTACAGGGTTCTAAGCGCCGTAAGAAACTACATAAATTAATCACGAGACGAGAGAGAGAGAGAGAGAGAGAGAGAGAGACCTGCCGTGGGCCTCTTAAACGGATCGCGTCACTCCTGCAGGCGGTATTAGAAATTAAGAATAATTAGAAGAAATGAGATAGAATGTCGGCGCGCAGCACGCACGATTCGTCGCCTCTTTCGCTTCCTTTATGACTTATTTATTTTTCTATTTAGCGAGACGAGCATCTCCTCTAAATGATTATATCATTTCGGGGGTGGGGGAGGGGGAGAGGCGAAGGGGAAGAGAGAGGCACGCAAGAAGTATATAAATTAATTAAAGCGGACGAGAGAAGAGAGCAGCTGGCAAACTCGAAGACCATAACGTAGATTTGGCGACGCTGAGAAATAAATAGGAAAAGATATTGGCACATAAAACTATTTAGACTTTGGCACAGCAATTCTTCGCGATGTACGGATATATGAGGAAATAAAATAATTGATGGTTAATTTTTTTGAACAACATTGGTAACAATATAAAATGCGAGTAGCAAGTAGCGTAACAGTATAAAACAGGAGAAAAAAATTTATATCGCGAAAAAGGAAATTATAAGCGATATTTTCTGTAGGCAGCATTAATGGAATAAATTATACCGAGAGTCCAGATTTTAAAATAATTTATTTGCGACTTCTCTGAATTTTTATGATACTATTTGTGTGAACGATGTTAATTATAGTATCATTTTTCTTCAGTTTTCGTACAGAAATCTAAAATTGGAAATGCTTGTACATATTATTTAATTATTGTTTTATTAATATTTTAATTTTTATAAAAATAAAAATTGCAACATGCCCATTGCATATACTAACCCATATTAAGCGGGAATCTCTATTACCATCAATCAAGTTCGCATTTATTATGAAATTTTAAAGTTAAAGTTTATTATCAAATTTACTACTATTTATACGTTAATTTATCGCTGTAATCTCATATTCTCATGATTCTTGATTCTCATAAGAACAGTTTAAATCACGGTGTTGAGATGATATTTCGAATTATTTTAGAATAATGAAAATAGCGATAAATTCAGGAATAATTGATTTTTCGATTCGATTACTATCTTTTTAGCTGCGGAAGAGCAGCTCGATGCAAGCTTAGTATCTGTACCGCCCATCTGTTACGCGATTTCCTGTTAAATGTTGTGTAATAAGATCGGGACTAAAGCAACAAATTAGCACGTAAATTGGAGTAAATAGAACTTGATTGGCAACGATAAGAATTCCAGCTTCAATATGGGTGAACACAATAATAGCACGTTACGACATATAATCTGACGACTGTCTTTATTTCCTGCGTTTCAGATTCGATGGACGTGCGGCCGTATGGTGAAGCAGAGGAGATTTATCGGGAATACCAACAACAAAATGATCAATATACGGGAACCCTTGTAGATGTCTCTTAGAGGGATAATTTAATACGCACGAGGCGAATGTGAGAAACGTTGTTTCTCAGTAAATTAGGTGCGAAAGCTGAGTCCTGTACGAGATTTAACCGGAATTTCAGTCGGCGGCATTGCCATTCGCATTGCCCGGATGCGCGAGAAGCGTCGTCGCGCGTTATAAAAAGAGTTTGCAGATACGTCAACGGGTGACGAAGCATTTTGCCAGGTCCCCCCGCTCGTCTCTCCTGGTGGACGAGCGCCAAATCCGTCGCGCACGGATCTAGATGTGATCGCATTTGTGATTCGATTACCTTTCTCGCATTTTATCGAGATTTACAGAGATTTTTTTACTTTCTTATTACGGTGAGTAATAAAATGCAATAACCAGACTATTGTTCGTTCATTTCTTTCTCTCTCTCTCTCTCTCTCTCATTCGAAAATTCAAGTAACAAAGTCAAACGGAGAATCGCAACGGAACGTATGCAATCGCGAGTTACGAGCCCTCCGCGCTGGGGAGAGGTTTAGAAAGTGTCCAGGACATACATACACGTAGAACGCGGAGAGGCGAATATTTTTCGATTGCGTATACGGCCCGCGCGTGTACCGAATTACCATGCTGCGTGGAACGTAATTGCGAATTCGTGGTGGAGGCCGTTTCGGTAGCAATCGGGATGTACAATGAACACGGTCGTGTATATCCCGATATTCTAAAGGCTTTATGAACGAGAAGAACAGATTTAACACGCTCAAAACGCGTTGCAAAACTCTTAGCAAAAATAATAGATAATGGATAAATGTAAAAATGATTATATTAAAAAGTATAACGCGTTACAAAACTCTAACGGAAATAAGAGACAATAGATAAATGTAAACATGATTATATTAAAAAATATTAAAAAATTCTATCACTTTATATCGGTAAGAGAATATATTAAACGTTCACGCGCAATACACTTCACTTATTTGCAAGTATTATATTTGCGAGAAATGATTAGAGACAGGAGTTTCTACGTAATGCATGACAATTCTAATGGATATCCACTAATGGAAATTGTTTTAAAATAACAACATCGGCCGACCAGGCCAGTCCAGTTCTCGTATTGCAAGAAATGAGGAATGGTAAGGCGATTCATCATAGTTTTACGACGGTCACGAAATAGTGGCGACATTTACAGCGCGATCCCCGCCTCTCGACAATCGAACGGCGAATCACTTGATCGTTTAAAAACAACTTGATCGAGTTTAACGTGTAGCCAATATAACAATAATTCGCCGGCGTGTCGCGCGCGTGTTCCTCAGACCGGGCTGCCGTCGAACAGTCATTGAGACTAATCGATTATTCAGGGTAGCCTCTCGAACGCCGCCGCGGGAAAAGAACCAAACGGCTTAATTTAATCGTTCTTATTCTTTCAGATTTTTAGACGCTGTATCGCTTTATATTACGGAGGTGGAAGGCGCAGAGTCAAAATAATAATCGAGAGTATTAACCATAGTATTCATTATCACGTTCATGCAACTCTCGCAGCATTGATACAGAGGGAGAGACTAAACGGATTTGTATATCCGCAATCTCGCGAGGGAACACGTGTGTGGTCGGACTCTGCAGTACAGCAGAAAAAAAAGGGCGAACGACGTCTGTTTCAACTCGGCGAAGCCCGAATTTTCGACCCCCCCCCTCATGTGTGCCGTGCCCGGCAGAGTTTTCGTCATAATGGTGAGTAATGTCTGCGCATTTTGCAAACTATCAATTTACGCTCTTCCTCCGCGCGCGGAAAAAAAAATATATAAAATTTCATTCATTTCACGCTCGCCGCCATCATTAAGTCGTCCCATTCGCTTTACGCAACTCGATATACGTAACGAGTGACGCCCATATTGGCGCACGTAACCCAAATAGCGCGTTGTGTAAGCTATACACGTATACATTGTGTAACCTCGGCGAGCGCGACTCGCCAAGCCGATAACCTTCGTCACGGTCGAACGTCTTACGAATCTACCTGTGGGGCCCACCACTTCGGAAGGGAGAGGGCCCCCCCCTCCCCGGCAGAACGAACGGGAAATTCCGATGTTCCGGTTCCGATTGCCCTTTACAAGATTTACACCGCGCGCCCGCATATTGCCGGCGAAATTGTATTGTCATTCATGCAAATTCCGGTGGGCGAGCGAGCGAGCGGGGGATTTCCTCGTTCGCGGAGTTCCTCCCATTAATCAACGTTTCCTGTTGCACTTAGGAGATCAGCTCTCTCTCGCGTGCTGCACCAGCGTGCGCGCGCCCCCAAACTCCGCAATCCAATTTATTTCCGGCGCTATTTCGCGGACACGCGTGAAAATGCAACGCTCTCCGACGAGGGAAAACGACGAGCACGCACGCGCGCTTTTTCGAAGCGCCAGGTTCTTCCATTCCGCGCCGTTGAGCTCAACGTCGACGTGCATACGCGCGATATTGTTATCCGGATGTTTAATGCGCGACCGTTACCGTTTGCATATGTATCGCCGGGATGATCTCGGCCGAGCGACCAACACTGAAAATTAGCATGTAAGATCGGCCGTGTTATGCAGATCGACACGCCTATAGTCCGACGCAACAGGCGCACCGCGCGCGTCGTGCGCTCCACGAGAAAACGTTTCTCGTCCCGATGGCGAAACGCTTTGCAAGCCCGTTCGTATTGTGTATCGCGCACAGATCGAAGGCACCTCGGGACGATCCCGCGATTACGTCGACACTCGTAATGGCAATCAAACGTGAGAGGCGCGGTGTCCGTCTCTCACGAGAGCGGAAGCAAACGGAAACTCCCTATTCGCCTGCGAGGACAGCTGGCTTCGGATTGTGTTACCGCAGGTCAGAGAGATAATGTTCCGTATAATTGCGCGTCTCTCGCGCAAATATACCGACTACCGGTGGTAAATACGGCGATACCGCTCTCTCGCTGTGTAGCGCAATTAAAACGGTGTCGCGTTTCGTTTTCGTGTGATAAGCGATGCGCGCTCGCTCGCGCGCGCGCGCGCGGTGCAGGCTCGCGCGGTAATCTATGAAAAACGGCGGGGATCGAGTGAACGAACGTTTCTCCCTGCCCCGTAACGAAAATTAATGCGCGCGAGAGAGCGCCCGGGCGTTTAAGCATGCTTTTAGCGGCCGTTCCATCACCGCGGCGGAATATTGAATAGTTCTGCAAAGCGACGTGCTATCTTTGTAGAGGAAAAAAAAAACCGGTTCCGTTCCTTTCTTAGAATACTAGCTATTCTCTCTCTCCCTTTATCTCTCTCTTTTTCTCGACCCCCTTCAGAACGAATCAATCTCAATTGTCAGTTTGATGTAATTATCGGCACGATCGATCGCGATTGCGTTTCGATGTCGGCGCGTAAAAGAAACGCGCGATTGGGCGGCCGCGCGTAAATTCGATTCCGGATTAACGCGACGAGAAACAAAAGAGGGCGAATAATGCACTCTCGACTTCCGCCAGCAAATCTCTCTTCCTTTCTCTCTCTCTCTCTTTCTCTCCCGCGGCTCTTGAGGCGCAACGTAAGGATTCGCGTAGTCTAAACTTCCTGTCGGTTGATTCGCCGTCGGTTAATCAGAGCGACCGCAGGATTCCGTTGTAAATTCCACGGCTTGGCGGCTCCTGCCCGCGGCGTCTTATCTTCACCCGGCCGGAAACGATGGGCGCGCGCGTTCGCCGCTAACGCCCGGCTTCCAGCAATTAATCGACTTTCATTATTTCCGCCGATTGCAACTTAAATTATTATACGAGAAACTTCATCCGGCGCATTTCTCACGAACGGAACCGATATTCCGGCACGCGGATCGTGAGGACCTTATTTCGCGGAGGTGAACGTTCGTACTTATAACGAAGATAAGTTTACTCCACGCGCGGACCGCCGTCGTTCCGCTTTCGTCGTCCGCGAAACTTTGTTGAACTCGCGAACACGACCCAGGTCTAAACCTGTCGCTGTTTAATCACGCGGAATTATTAATATCGGGAGCATAAAACTTGCGAGGTAATAATTAATTACGCTTCGAGCGGTAGATTGCCGAAGAACGATCGCTCCTGCTTGCGGTACTTAGAGGCAACGATGATAATTGGCGGCGCTAATCGATCGAGTTGACGGAATTGCAAAAAGAAAAAAAAAACACGCCGGTGCAAAAACTCATCCTTTGTTATTGTTCTTGAGATTACGCGACGTGAGTGAGACGCTTGATTAAAAATTATCGTGCACGACGTGCCGGGAAGATAAGGGAGACACGACGTTGTCGCACGTGTGCACAGATTGACGCGGAAAGAAGGAAGGAAGCTATACTTGGCCGACGCATTATACCTGGCCGTGACTAAGCGGCCGAGCGCGACGCCGACCTTGCACCTGCACCGACAACGGCGTTAATAACGAACGTACGAACGAATGTACGTACGACGCGGTCAGAAGCTGACTCCTTTCCCCTTTTTTCCCCATTTTCTCGGTGTTTTTTCAGTGACGGCAACAAAAACGACAGTTGGGGGCGAGTGAGAGAGAGAGGGAGAGAGAGAAAGAGAGGGAGAGAAGGCAGCAGGACGCAACGCGCCCTTTCTCCATCCCCCGATTCGCGGGAGGGAGGGGACGCAAATGAGCTCGCCTCTCCTTCTATCTCGTCGGTGCCGGTTCAAGCGCGACCACGTGGAAAGCTCACGTGCGTCAGCGGTTTTCCGTATCTCTGGCCCCGATTCTGTGTTTTCCACCGCGCTCGATTAAGCGCCCGCGCTGCACGTTCCACGGTACAGAGTAACCGCGGCCGAATAATTAGCGGTAAAACCGGGTATAGGGACTGAATCGGCAAAGGGGAGGAGAACGAGGATCGAGTCTGTCTCGTTATTGGCACGCTGTTCGATATAAAGGGACGATAAAGCGAGCACTTTATCGATTCGGCGAGGAGAATATTTTCGGCTTCGTTCGGCCGTATATTTAGTTGTGATCCTCTCTCTCTCTCTCTCTCTCTGAATGAGATTGCAACGTGCTTCCCCGGTATCGACTGTCCTAATATTAGACAGTCTCGTAAGAGCGTCGATAAATCGCCGTTGATAAAAGCCGCGGCGTTCTTTATCTTTGGCGCGATTCGCGAGAAGAATACATACGTCGGACGTCGGCACCGATGACATGGCATGGAATGATGGATTGTGATCGCGTGATTATCGGAGCCGGAAAATCATACGTGATTTATTCTCTCGCGAGGAAAGATGAGATCGCGCGTTTCCTCACCTTCCTCACGTGCCACCACGCTCTCACTCGATACACATCAGGATCGTAAAACATTACAAATGAGAGAGAGAGAGAGAGAGCTCCGTTCGTGAATTAATAAATTGCCAAATTGAATCAGCCATCCGGATCAGCTGTTATCCAATTTCGCTTGAAAACACAGAACACGTGTAGATTAAATTGTATCGTAATTTATCAAGGACAGCTCTCAGGGAACGGAGCTCTTCGTAGATTTTATCCGAGCGAGCAATGAGACACGTGAAGGAAACCTCGGTTCCGCCGATATATATGTATATACCGCGAGAAAATAAACCGTATAATTTTTCGCTTCCCCTCGTCGACGTAATGCAACGGATGAAGTGGATGGAGAGGAGTTCGGACTTCAGGCTTCTCAATTTCGCTTGTGGTCTTTTCACGGTGGATGACGCAACGCGATGCTGGGAGAAGTGCCGCCGTTTCAGTTTCGCTGATTTAATCGAAGACCCCGCGGAGCATCCCGAAGCGTCATGATTTCAATTGTGCGTGCGGGAGAGGCGGTCGGGGGCTGAATCAAAGTGCGTTTAGCCGAGTGTAGCTGTATGTATCGCACGCATACGCAGCGTGTGCCGGAACGCGAAGGAGGCGTGAAGAGGGCATTCAGCGGCCTCATTGTCGGCCTCGAGTTCGTTACGAGAGGTCGAGCTATTGACCTCGTATCTCTTCTCGTTAAGGCGGCTAATTCTACCATTTTCCCGGCTCGCTCTATTTTCGTCGAAGTGATATGCGCCGTCGAAATTGTCGACGCGCGAAGATTCGCGCGTCGTGTCACGTCGCGGAGATTCGCGGTCGTCCGTGTGCCACTATTATCCAATCGTTCGATCGTATTGAACGCCGCGCCGTTCGCGCGAGTCGAGGTAACAATTTGCATTGTTAATCGGAGATCCGCCGATAGGCCGTATAATGAACTCGGAGAGTTCGTTATACCATACATGTATGATTAATCGGGGTAATTGCGGCGCACCCGGGGTAAATGCAACGCCGCAATATTTTGCGTTGTATGTGTACGCGTATGCGCGCGCGCGCGCGTGTGTGTGTGTGTGTGCTCAGCGGAGTTAATTATTCAAATAGACCACGTCTCTCTCACAACGGTCGCCGTCGTCCACGTTTTCTAACTAGCCCGTATATTTTCTAATAAGATAACGTGAGCACATTACGTATGAGCCTCTCGTAAAGCAGCAATCCCGTACGTTTTACCACGCAATCCTTTCAGCGCTTTACCGCCGTGACGAGAAAAACCGCGCGGTGGGATTTTCTCGAGCGCATTTCAGAAACTCCGAAAGAAAGATATATATATATATATATATATATATATACACATATATTTTTTTCTTTTTATATGTATATATATTTTATCGCACGAGAGTTTTCTTCGCCTGTCGACGGTGTCGTTTACGTTTTCGCATCATTCATTTTCATTCCCTTAATTTCCTTTCGTATTATTCGGCCGGCGAG